TACCACATTCCATTCTGAATTGAAACCCTGGATGGAATGAGCTGGCCATTGAAACTGGGTGTGGTGAGGTACACCTGTAATCCCACCACTGGGAGGCTGAGACAGGAGGATCACTATGAGTCTGAGCTGTGTAGTGAGACCCTGTACTACATAAATAAATGAAAGATTAAAAAAAGTTCTCCAAAAACTCCCAAGTCCCCCCAAAATTGATCCATGTGGCATTAAAAAGAAGGAAACATAAAGCCATACACCCAAATTCTTTGAAAAGATACCAGGAGAAATAAGAAAACAGATCAATAAGGCATTTCAAAAACTCACAGAAGATATAATTAATAAGATATTTGGCCAAGCAAACAAATGATCTGAATGGTGGTTCACGCCTATAATCTCAGCACTCGGGAAGCTGAAAACAGGAGGATCCCTGTGAGTCCAGGCTGCATAGTGAGACCCTGTACCAAATACATAAAAAACAAAAACAAATGATCTCAGAATCTAAAGAAGGCACTAAAAAAAGTTAGAAGAGCTAAGCAGAACAATACAAAACATGCATGACCACTTGTAGTTAGCATGTGCAAGGGAAACATTTTAATACAGGACACAAGTTATAGGACTATTTTATAATATTCATTCAAAGAATTAGATGCAAAATGTGCAGGAGATCTCTCCACACACTAAAGACCCAAAATATCCAGTGGAGGGCCTAGATCCCATGGCAATGTCTACAGCTGATAGAGTCCACAGCAATGTCCTCTACAAGTCCAACTGGAGGCAGAGAGCCCACAGGAATGTCTCATGCAAGCTTGTGTCAAAGATCTGCACTGCAAAGACCCAAAAGTCAGTGGTGGCAGCTAGAAATCCTGTGCCACCAAGATGAGAGATCTGTGCCAGCAGGCTGAGGGATCTGCACTTGAGCCAGGAAGCAATGCTGGTGTTAATTACTTTACTCTTTGCTGGGTCAAAAATACCCAACACCCAAAGGTAAGGAAAGAAAGGATTATTTACTTTACAATTTGTCGAAATTTCAGTCCATAATCAGCTGGCTCCAAGGCAGGATGGCGTGGTGAGGGGCAACAGTTCCATGCGGCAGAAGACAGCAAAATCAGAAAGAGCAAAAGAGGGAGAACAAGACCTTTCTCCCTTATATTGTATGCAGGCTACATACTCTAGGTTAGATGTAGCGCTCACAAAATTGCTGGGCCTTCCTCTTGCATAGGTGTAGGACATTTACAAAGTAAGGACCGTGGCATCCTGTTAAGTCACTTAATTAAACTTTTCAGCTTTTCAAATTGACACAATAAAGGAGTAAGCATATTCCCTCATACAAGTGGATACAGAACTGCTGAGTTAGTTAAGCTTATAGATTTCTCAAGTTGGCACAGTGTATCAACATTACAAGCTCAAGGTAAGGACCAAAGTTCCCCAAAGAGACCTGTAGCCATCCACAGACACAGCAAGACCTGAGTTCCTCTGATGATGAAAACAGCTGAGTTCATATCAGGACAGCCAGCCCAACAAGCTCC